CTGAGTGAACCTTCTCACTGTTGCTCTAGGTTATTTTATGATACCTGGGCCCAAACAACAGGCACTGTCAGGTTTGTGCATCACTGCAGGCAAACGAGACCCATAACTTGTATGTCTTTATGAGGTACAGTGATCTGCAACATTGAAGAGAATTGTGTCTACATCAGTGGTTCTCAAACTTTTGCAGGCAACAGAGTCACCTGGAGGGCTCATTGAAACAGCCCACTCACTCCCACCCTGGAGTTTATGATGCGCACGCTATGCCTGGGTGGGGCGTAGGTCGGTAATATTAATGTAGCTGGTCTGGGGACCATATTTTGAGAACCACTATTTTATAGATTCAAGCTGCAACCATTAAACTGTAAGCAAGTTATCATTACATCATGGCATACTTGGAAAATGGTAACTTAGTACAAGATACTGGAGTAAACTGAGGGGGATCTGGAAGTGCAGATGATTGGCTCACAGGCTGAATGACCAAAGACATCGTGGCACACCTGTTGAAAAACTCTGGCATGAGGTACAGGTATATTTAACAATCTGAAATTCACAGGGATTTTCATTTAAGTAAGGGGCCTTGAATGAGATTATTGATAAGCCTCATTGAGTACAAGGTTTTTCTACCTCATCCTCTTCCAGAGCTCTAATAACTTGTTGACTGTCAGGGAATTTCAGAATTTACCTTTGCTGATGTCAACCTAAAGATGACACAATTATAAATTTAGAAAGAATCTCCAGCTGTGAAAGAGAAGAAAAAAGTAGAAAGGAGACTGTTTATTATAAAGAGTTACAACCTGCAAGGTGGCCATCCTTGACAGTCTTGGAAGCGTAGCTTCTGGCAGACACTGAAAGGCACTTAGAAGGAGATGGAGTTGGGACAAGAGCTTAATGCTGAACAGGTTGGCTATATGTTCCTATTCAACAGGTTATAGGAGGAGCTATGAATATCCATGAATGGGGTCCTGATGCATGCGTAATGAACAAACATTGATGTTACATGCATCCCACGTTCACTTTGGGGTGGAGACTTAACATTTAAATGTATTACAGTTAGACCCTGTACATCAAAAGGTGAATCAGGGGCCGGGCACGGTGGCTCCCGCCTGTAATCCCAGCACTTTGGGAGGCCGAGGCAGGTGGATCACCTGAGGTCAGGAGTTCAAGACCAGCTGGCCAACATGGTGAAACTCCTTCTCTTTTAAAAATATAAAAATTAGCTGGGTGTGGTGGTGGGCGCCTGTAATCCCAGCTACTTGGGAGGCTGAGGCAGGAGAATTGCTTGAACCCAGGAGACGGTGGTTGCAGTGAGCCGACACAGTGCCACTGCACTCCATCCTGGGCAACAAAGTGAGACTTCGTCTCAAAAAAAAAAAAGGTGAAACAGGAACACAAGGCGCTCACCTGCAGCTTCTGCAAGCTGGCCAGAACCACTCTGATCAGGAGGAAGTTACTGAAATCAGTTCCTTGTCCAGTCAAAGCTGTGTGGCTTGTGGAACAGGGGTCAGTCAGTATCCGTTGGTGGATGAGCTGCGGTTGTTTTCTTTTTGTATTTTTTGGTAAGTTTTTATTTTTAATTTTTGTGGGCACATAGTAGGCTTATGCAATTGCTTTAATCTTGCTTACCTTGAGGCTAGTGCTTGTTTGGCTGCTGGAGAAAAAGAGCAACCTTATTATGGTAGTTAGAACATAGTATATGGTTAGGACAAATATAGGGGTATGGGATTTAACCCTTGTCTGGCATGGCCTTAGGTCTTGTTTATAACTTGGTGTTTTATTGCCACAAAGAGTCTGTTTCTATCAATCTTGATGATCTCTATGTTAACATGAATGCTGGTCAGTTGTGCCTGAACCACAAAAGGGAGGGAGTAAATGAGTTGTGTCTGACCTCCCATTCTCTCATGGCCAGGAACTCAATTAAGATTTCTCTGAAGTACTCTTGACCAAAAGGGAGTCTCTCGGTTGGGGGCTTAGGATTTTATTTATAGTTCTCATTAGTCTATATTATTAGTATTTTTGGACAGCGTGTAGTTGAGTAGGGGCAATTTGTTTCCTAAATCCTGAGTGCCACCTGAGCAAGGTAAAATAACCAGACATGTTTAAACCTGGTCCACAATCTCTTTATTTGTGGGATTAGTACATGTGAGACCGTCTGCCTTCAAGTGACCAAAGGTGGAGAAAAGTCTAAGAGAACTTTCCAGTCAATTTTGAAGCTTTTATTCGGGGGAGTATCTGAGGGTGTAAAATATCAGAAAACAGGAAAAACGAGTTAGACCACTTACTGTTGAGAACCTGTAGTACAAGGGCATAGGGCTGAGGAGGGTGGAATGGGCAGGTTGTAAACCTGGAGATGATCCTTGAGATTAAGATGCTCCTCCCTCTGCTGCCTGAGGTATTTCTCCACTTTAATCACCAAGCTGGGAAAAACCTACTCTTTCCTTTTTGAGAGAGGTGTTCCTAAATGCTGACCCAAACAAAAGCACATGGTGACTGAAACATACTCATAATAATTTTGCACCAATAGCTGCTCTTACCAAGTTAAACTAATAGGCAAATAAAATTCTTCAAAACAGTGAGGAGTTTAAGACAATGAGAATGGTCTCCTTTGTTACAAAGACCAGTCAAAATACCAGGTACCCAAGATGGGTACTTCAAGCCATGTTTGAATTCTTGAGGTGGCAGTTTGTTATGCCAGAAAGAGCTGGGCTTTGGAGCTAGATGGACCAGGGTTCAAATCTCCCCTCTGCTACTTTACCTTCTCTGTGACTTTGAGCAAGTTAATTTAACCATAGAAGCTCAATTTTCTCATCCGAAAATGGAGATAATTGTGTCTCCCTGGGTGGCGGTGAGAATAAACAGTCAGGTTTGCCTGGCACATGCTGGATACTCAGCAGGCGAACTTCCCTTTCCTTCTTAGTGATAGATGGCTTTTGCACATTGCTAGGCCACATGGAGGCAGGTCTAGTCTGACTCTCTCCCATATGTGAACTAGGGATGAAATTAGGGTGAGGGGAAAAATTAGGATTAGCTATAACTGCATATAATTTGCATATATTTTGCTTTTAGTAACTCTAAATGAAATATGAAATTGATTTAAGTGGGAATAAGTGTTTTCCCCAATCTTTGTTTTGGAGGAGAGAAGATTTTCTTTCAGAGTGACCTAGAACATTCCTTCTTGACCTTTTTATTCCTTCTCTGACTTCAGGGAGTCAGGGTGGGGAAGGTGGGACCAACATGGTGGTGTAGACCCATCTTACTCTCAGGCGAGGAAGAATCACGGTACATATTCGGAGAAGAGCACCTGAGCTGCGCTAAAGGAGAGCTGCCCTCTTTGTTTTCCTTTTGGCATCCCACAGGGGTTTAGGATGTTTTCATTAACTCTCCAAGGAGTGTTAGGTGTTATTTGTCACAAAGAATTTTTTCACAAGTGACAGAATCAGAACACTTCTAATGAGTACAATTAAACTTTGAATAAAAATTTATCCTCATAATTACCTCTTGTGAAGATCAATAAAAATGATATTTCGGCCAGGCGCAGCGGCTCACTCCTGTAATCCCAGCACTTTGGGAGGCCGAGGCGGGTGGATCACCTGAGGTCGGGAGTTTGAGACCAGCCTGACCAACATGGAGAAACCCCATCTCTACTAAAAATACAAAATTAGCCAGGCATGGTGGCGCATGCCTGTAATCCCAGCTACTCGGGAGGCTGAGGCAAGAGAATTGCTTGAACCCAGGAGGTGGAGGTTGTGGTGAGCTGAGATTGTGCCATTGCACTCCAGCCTGGGCAAAAAGAGCTAAACTCCGTCTCAAAAAAAAAAAAAAAAAGAAAAAAAAAGATATTTCATTTTGCTATTTTGGAAATACTGAAGTTCTTTCTTGATTGGAATAAGAATCTTAAAAAAACTTCCCTAAGTATCCCCTAAATTAATAATTCGTACTCCTTAAGCATGTTTAGTGTGAGCACTTGTCCTTTTTGAATGTAATTTCAAGAGTAAGTCTGAGTTACTGTTTTTTTTTTTGAGATGGAATCTGTCACCCAGGCTGGAGTGCAGTGGTGCGATCTCGGCACACTGCAACCTCCACCTCCTGGGTTCAAGCAATTCTCCTGCCTCAGCCTCCAAGTAGCTGGGATTATAGGCGTGCGCCACCATGCCTGGCTATTTTTGAGATGGGGTTTCACCATGTTGGCCAGACTGGTCTCGAACTCCCAACTTCAGGTAATCGCTCCTGCCTCAGCCTCCCAAAGTACTGGGATTACAGGCATCAGCTACCGCGCCCAGCCTAGAGAAATCTTTAATTTGTGTTTTCATCCTGCTTTCTTCTGTCCCTAGTTTCTTAGAGATATCCTCAAGTTACTTAAGGGAAAATTGTTACAAAGACATTTTACTGTTTAGAATTATGCCTAGCTGGTTTTCTCAAGTTCTCATTCTTTAAAAGCGAGGTGTAGTGGTGTGAGCCTGTAGTCCCAGCTGCTCAGGAGGCTGGGGTAGGAGGATTGCATGAGTCCAGGAGTTCAAGCCCAGCCTGGGCAACATAGCAAGGCCTCATCTCTTAAGAAAAAAAAATCTTACTGAAAATTAAAATCTTTTTTTTTTTTCTTTTTTAAGAGAACTTTAACTACATCATTGAGTTTTATGAGCTGACTGGGGATCCTATCAGTAATAACAGTGAAATTCAGAAGTCCTTTCTCTCATAAGAGGAAATACAGGTTGGGGATTCCTTGTAGAAATGAGCACCTGTTCACTTTGTATTGCCCCCTCCAACCCCCTTCTACTTTCCTCCTGTCCTTCAAAAGCCACAGATACTGGGTTTATACTTACTTTTCATTGATACCATTAAGTGGGTTAGAGGAAAAAATATTTTAGCCTTTTTTTCAGAAAAATTGAAGCGTAAAGAGAGAAAAAAAATGATCTTTTCAAATATATTTTGTTTTTCAAATATATTTTGCCTTTGCCTCTAGACTCTTGGAGTGGCATCATAGCTGGCTCAGAATTAAAAAAAAAAAATATGTGGAATGTTTCATGAATTTGGGTGCCATCCTTGCCCAAGGGCCATGCTAACCTTCCCTGTATTGTTCAGCTTTATATACATGCTGCTGAAGGGAGCACTGCCTTGGAGTTTATTATGCACGTGTATAGAAAAGGTTTAATCAAAGATCTGTGCTGGAGGGTGGAGTCAGTGGTCAAGCTAGTCCAGTTCTGCTGACGCTAAGAGAGAAAGGTCAGCTCAGCGTGCCTCATTGATAAGATACCTCGGTATACATGTAGGAATATAACAGTTATCAGTGAGGTAACCTTTATGCAGCAAACTTGGGGCTCCCGATTTGTGCCAGACACTGTGTGGTACTTTGGAGACTCGAAGAGGAAAGCAGGAGACTGCCCACCCTTCCATTTTCTTTTCTTTTCTTTTTTTTTTTTTTTTTTTGAGACGGAGTCTCGCTCTGTCACCCAGGCTGGAGTGCAGTGGCCGGATCTCAGCTCACTTCCATTTTCTATGTCTAGGTTCTTGGGAAACTTGTCTAACTTCCTGAGCCACAGCTTCCTCATTTCTGAAAAAGAAATGTCTGTAGAGCCATGCCTACTAAATGATCTGTCACTTCAATATTTGGCTCATTGTAAGCAGTCAGATAGTGGTGGCTTAAGCCCAGTCCACTGCCTACTGAAGTGAGATAGGTGAGCAAGCCATTGTACTGTGAGTAAGCCATTGTTCGGCAGTGTATACGTGATTTGGTGGGAGGTTTGTATGCACAGGTGTAGGGAAATAGCACAGGTTGGTGCCTCATCCAGGAGGGGCTTGTATGAGGAGGAGGTGGTGGCACGTGAGCCAAAAATTGAAGCCCAATTAAGGAATAGCTGGCAAAAGGGGAGGGGCATTCTAACCAGTAAGAAATGTCTGAAAAGATACCCAGACTCTGCTAAAGCTCACGCTGTGAGGAGGGGGTGGGACCTAGAGAAGTATAAAATGGGCTTTTAAGTAAAGGAAGCATTTTTAAATTCTGATGAGGTATTGGATTAAGAATAGGCTTTGGTTTGGTGAAGCATTTGCCTGTGAAGCTTGGCAACTTCTGCTGTAAACTTTTGTTGTAAGGAATTCTGTGGGAACCGAGTGCTCCCCTCCCTTCCCCCCTGTGGTGGGATCTGAGCACACTCCGTGGTAACCCACCCACTGGTTTCGCAGTTGCTGCCAAATTCCACTTTCAGAGGGAAATGATTCTATTCCTTTCTGACTCTGAATGTTAAACAATCAAGAATACCCCTATGGACTTGGAGGGGTAGGTAAATATCTTTCTGCATGCAGTACTGCCTGGATAAGTCCGGAGACTGCATCTTGTGTTTTAATGCTACTAAGAATGGGAAAGTTAAGATGTAAGGAATGTGTATTGCAGGAAGATACACTATATTGAAGCTGAACCTAATTGTAAGGCTTTATAATAGCAAAATAATCCAAATAAAGGTCTTCTGCCACCTCTAAATTCTTGTAAAAATTAATTTGATCAGATCCAGTGGCCTTAATTCCAAAATCCAGCATCTTTTGAATTTTTACTGTGTTTAAAGGCACTGTGGTAAATGTGATACCTTGTCACCTCATTTAATCGTCAAATAACTTTATGTACTAGGTAGTCTTCTTCTTCTTCTTCTTCTTTCTTCTTTCTTCTTCTTCTTCTTCTTCTTCTTTCTTTTCTTCTTTCTTTTCTTCTTCTTTTTTTTTTTTTTTTCCAGAGGAAAACTGAGGCTTTATAGAATTTGTGGTTGGCAGACCTGGGGTGAGCCCAGATAATCTGATGCCATTGGTTGTTTGTGTATGTATTTGAGACAGGGTCTCATTCTGTCACCCAGGTTGGAGTGCAGTGGCACAATCAGAGCTCACTGCAGCCTCCGTCTCTCAGGCTCAAGAGGTCTTCCCATCTCAGCCTCCCGAGTAACTGATACTATAGGCACGTGTACCAAACCTGGCTAAAATGCCATTGATCCTATCACAAAGCTAAAGCGGTTCTACCCTTTTGAATAGCAGCTCTTTTTCACAGAAATGATTTGTAGATTTAGTTTTTTTCCACCCTTTATTTCTATTCCTTTGCCTTAAAACAACTAAATGATTCATCTAGGGTTAGCACTTGTTTGAGGTCTTTGATTTTTTTTTTTCCAATTTTTTTTCTCAATTACAGAGTGATATGTAATAATTTAAAGACTATTAGGTGAAATGTCAAGAGTGTTGGAGCTGTTACATAAAACATAAAATCTAACAGTGGCTGGGCGGGGTGGCTCACGCCTGTAATCCTAGCACTTTGGGAGGCCAAGGTGGGTGGATCATTTGAGGTCAGGAGTTCGAGACCAGCTTGGCCAACATGGTTAGGCCCTGTCTCTACTAAAAATACAAAAATTAGCTGGGCATGGTGGCGGGCGCCTGTAATCCCAGCTACTCAGAAGGCTGAAGCAGGAGAATCTCTTGAACCTGGGAGGCGGAGGTTGCAGTGAGCTGAGATCGCACCACTGCACTCCAGCCTGGGTGCAGGGTGAGACTCCGTGTCTCTGTCTCTCTCTCTCTCTCTCTCTCTCTATATATATATATATATATGTATATATATGTGTGTGTGTGTGTGTGTGTGTGTGTATATATATATATATATATATATATATATATATATAAAAAACAGTGTTGGGAGTCTAATTGGCTGTGCTTTGTATGTTTAAATTTTTTATCCCAAAGGTTCTGTGGTAAGCCTTCCATGTTAACATTGACCTAAGGGAAAAACCTGAGGCAAAATTAATATAGAGAGTTTATTTGGGCCAAGGTTGAGAACAGCTGCCTGGGACATGCTTCCAAGCTGCCCTGGGGAGTGTTCCATTCAGCCTTTTTTATAAGCAAGTTTTTAAAGGCAAAAAAGGGGCACGAGGAGTGGGCAGAAACAAAGTTGTTCATGAGAATTCTCACTGGTTTACAGAAATAACGTTGTTACATGTTGAGCTATAGCAGGGTCATGGTGCCCAGTGTGGAGCATTGTTAGGTTATGCAGTTTCTGGAGATAACTACATAGCTCAAGGGGGCAGTAGGACTTGATTGCTGTTTCATTTTAATGCCTCTCCAGGCCTGATATGTTTTAAGAAAGGGCTTACATTCCTCAGATAAGAAGAACCTGTATATGTATCTAACATTAAGGCATAATTTCTTTCTTTTTTGAGACAGTCTCACTGTCGGCCAGGCCGGAGTGCAGTGGCACAATCTCTGCTCACTGCAACCTCTCCCTCTCCAGTTCAAGCGATTCTCCTGCCTTAGCCTCCTGAGTAGCTGGGACTACAGGCGCATGCCACCACGCCCGGCTAATTTTTGTGCGCGTGTGTGTGTATTTTTAGTAGAAACAGGGTTTCGCCATGTTAGCCAGGATGGTCTCGATCGCCTGACCTCGTGATCCACCCGCCTCGGCCTCCCAAAGTGCTGGGATTACAGGCGTGAGCCACCGCACCCAGCCTATTAAGGCATAATTTCTAATGCATGTTACTTCTGTAGGATGAATTCACTTACACATCACAATTAAATAAGGAAAGTGGAAAGGGAAGGCACTGATGTTGTGAGATATATTGCGTAGGCTATTAGTAATAGAGCCATTAAGAACCTACATTAAGGGAGAATAAACAAATCTCTTATTAAAAGAGCAGAAGTCAGCTTGAACTGCTTGATTTCTTCTGTGGTTTTAACATTCCACGTTGAGAGATGAATGGATTAAGAACCACCAGTGTACTTTGTTCTAGATTAGTGCTTTTCCAAGTGTGGTGCACAGACAGCAACATAGCATTACCTGAGAGCTTGTTAGAAATGAAAATTCTCCTAACCCGGACCTGGCTTAGGTTAAATGAGAATGGTCTTTCTAATGTGGGTGTGAGGTAATGAGACCAGTCTTCCTAATATGGAGGTGGGAAATTGCCATGGATAATTATTAAACCTAATTACATTAGAATGAGAACGAGGTGATCAGATTTTTCTTCTTGGTAATATACTTGTTTCAACTAGCGGTAGCACTATTTATATGTCTATTAAAAAGTGGATTTGACTATTAACCTCTAATGATTGCCTTTTTTTTATTAGCATTAATAGCATTAATGGGCCACATAAATACTAGATAATGCATATAAGATAATTTTCTTCAGTGTATGCCCCCTTTTCATTACAAGATAAATAATAACTATCTCTTGGGGTTTTTTAAGGTTAAAAATGTGTCTGCAGGCACACAGGACGTGCCTCCACCCCCATCTGACTATGCGGAAAGAGTTGACAGTCCCATGGCATACTCTTCCAACGGCAAAGTGAATGACAAGCGGTTTTATCCAGAGTCTTCCTATAAATCCACACCGTAAGTAGCGTCTCTCTTAGTTTGACAGACTGAGTGTAAAAATGAATATTTGCACATAATTGGTTTTTGTACCTTTCTGCTTAAAAAAGTATCCAGCAGTGCACACAAAAGCTGGATCTGGATCTTGGTATTACAACAATCTTTGCTTTGTTGGTAGAGAGGCCTACGGCCACTTGGAAGACCAGGTTGAGGAGGGTGGGGTTCTCTTTCCCTTCTAAGTTGAAAATGCTTCTTTTCACTTGCTTGTTTAATTGAAAGGCTGGGTTGGGTTCTTTCACTCTAGGAATGTGGTTCTGCTATTTCTGGTTTTGAAGTTTAGGTGAGGGTGAGAGGAAGTGACTAAGCAGAGGTCAGTGCTGTGCTCAGCCTCTCCTTTTGCCTGTAATTGTTGGATCTCATAAACAGAAGGAGGACACTGCACATTAATCAACCCTGTCCACATACATTTCTGTTAAACTGGAAGACTTCATTTGAATCCAGGAATTGTGGTATTTCATTTGCTGTGCTAGGTCCTCAGTATTGTTGGGAGATGTGAAACTTCAGTGAACGTCTGGCCTAGGGTAGGTGCCATATGATTATTGAAATGATATCTCTGTGGTGGAAACACTTACCCTAAAGCCCAATTCTAATTCCACCTAATGACTAGTGAGAGAAGAATATTGGAGGTAATTGGTATGGACGGGGATGTAATTTTTGCCTAAGGATGATAAAATCGGTATTTTTACATATATAGTCATGCATTGTTTAACGATGGGAATACAGAGAAGCGTGTCTTTAGGCAATTTCATCCTTGAGTGAACATCACAGTGTACTTAACACTGTGATGGATAGCCCAGATGGGTAGCCCGCTTATGTGGTATAGCTTCTTGCTCCTACGCTACAAATGCAGACAGCATGTTAATATACCAAATACTCTAGGCAGAGGTAATACAGTGGTATTTGTATATCTAAACACAAAAAAGTTACAGTAAATATAAAAGATCAAAAATGGTACATCTTGGCTGGGTACAGTGGCTCACGCCTATAATCCCAGCACTTGGGGAAGCCGAGACAGGCGGATCACCTGAGGTCAGGAGTTCAAGACCAGCCTGACCAACATGGAGAAACCCCATCTCTACTAAAAATACAAAATTAGCCGGGCATGGTGGTGTATGCCTGTAATCCCAGCTACTCAGGAAGGCTGCAGCAGGAGAATCACTTGAACCCGGGAGGCGGAGGTTGCGGTGAGCGGAGGTCGTGCCATTGCACTCCAGCCTGGGCAACAAGAGCGAAGCTCCATCTAAAATAAATAAATAAATAAATAAATGGTACATCTTTGTAAGGAACTTACCATGAGAGCGAAGCTCCATCTAAAATAAATAAATAAATAAATAAATAAATGGTACATCTTTGTAAGGAACTTACCATGAATGGAGCTTGCAGGACTAGAAGTTGCTCGGGGTGAGTCAGGGAGTAAGTGGTGAGTGAATATGAAGGGCTAGGACATTACTGTACACTTTATAACACTATACTTAGGCTATGCTAACTTTACTAAACATTTTTCTTTCTTCTATAATAAATCTTAGCTTTCTATAACTTTACTTTTTTTGACTCTTTTGTAATAGCACTTAAAACACAATCACATGGCTGGGTGCACTGGCTCACGCCCATAGTCCCCACACTTTGGGAGGCCAGTGTGGACGCATCACCCGAGGTCAGGAGTTTGAGACTAGCCTGGTCAAAATGGTGAATCCCCGTCTACTAAAAATACAAAAATTAGCCAGGCATGGTAGTGCGTACCTGTAATCCCAGCTACTCAGGAGGCTGAGGCAGGAGAATTGCTTGAACCTGGGAGGTGGAGGTTGCAGTGAGCTGAGATTGCACCAGTGCACTCCAGTGTGGGTGACAGAGTGAAACTCTGTTTTAAAAAAATTCAAAAAAAGAACAACAACGAAAAACACAATCACAAAGCCTGGCACAGTGGTGCACACCAGCAGTCCCAGCTAATTGGGAGGCTGAGGTGGGAGGGATCACACTTGAGCCCAGGAGCTCAAATCCAGCCTGGGTAATATAGTGAGACAGGAGGAAAAAAAAAAAAAGAAAAGCCAAAAAACCCGTACTTACATTGTATAGATATAGAGGAATAATTGCCTTACTCTATAAGATTTGTTGTTGTTTTTGGTTTTGGTTTTTTGTTTTGTTTTGTTTTGTTTTTTTGGTAGAGACATGGTCTCGATCTGTCACCCAGGCTGGGGTGCAGTGCTGTGATCACAGCTCACCGTAGCGTTGACCTCCCAGGCTCAAGCGATCCTCCCACTTTAGTCACCTCAGTAGCTGGGACTACACATGTGCTCCACCATGCCCAGCTAATTTTTTTTCTATTTTTTTGTAGAGACAGGGTCTTGCTATGTTGCCCAGGCTGGTCTTGAACTCCTGGGCTCAAGCGATCTGCCTGCCTCGGCTTCCCAAAGTGCTGGGATTACAGCCATGAGCCACCATGCCTTGCCACCAGGCTGTTCTTAGACTCTCTAGAAAAGACCTAAAGTGATCCTCCCACTTTGGCCTCCCAAAGTGCTGTTTTCTATTTTTACCATGTAAATTTTATTTTAGTTTCTACGCTTTTTTGTTAAAAACTAAGATACAGACTGGGTGCAGTGGCTCATGCCTGTAATCCCACCACTTTGGAAGGCTGCAGTGAGCTGTGATTGCACCACTGCCCTCCAGCTTGGGCAACAGAGACCCTATCTCAAAACAAACAAACAACAAACAAAAACACACACACACAAACCCAAAGCTAAGATTCAAATATACACATTTGCCTAGGCCCACATTAATATCACTGTCTTCCATTTCCACGTCTCGTTGCAGTGGAAGGTTATCAGGGCCAATAACATACCCAGAGCTGTCATCTTCAGTGGTAACAGTGCCTTCTTCTAGAATACCTCCTGAAGCACCTGTCTGAACCTCTTTTAACTTCTTTTTCTCTTTCAACTCTTTTTTTTTAATAAGTTGAAGGAATCTAATAATAAAAAATATAGTGTAAATACATAAACCGGTAGCATAGTCGTTTATTGTCAAGTATTATATACTGTATGTAATTGCATTTGCCGTGTACTTTTATTAGTCCATCATTGACTAAAATGCCCTTTTGACTTTGTGACTGTAATTCTAGAACTCCAGGTTCCTTTGGAGGCTGAAAAAGCCCAAAAAACTTCCTTTCAGCTAGTTGGAATGTCTATGTTAAAAGTGTATCTACTGGAAATAACTTTTTTGTTACTTCGAAGTTTTTTTTGTTTGTTTTTTTGTTTTTTTGAGACTGAGTCTCACTCTGTTGCCCGGGCTGGAGTACGGTGGTTCGATCTTGGTTCACTGCAACCTCCGCCTCCTGGGTTCAAATGATTATCCTGCCTCAGCCTCCTCCTAGTAGCCACCACGCCTGGCTAATTTTTGTATTTTTAGTAGAGCCGGGGTTTCACCATGTTGGCCAGGTTGGTCTCGAACTCCTGACTTCAGGTGATCTACCAGTCTTGGCCTCCCAAAGTGGGCATTACAGGCGTGAGCCACCGCACCTTGCCTACTTTGAAGTTTCATCCACAACGCCCGACTCGTGATTAGTGGCCCATGATGTATGAGATTTACTCTGAGTGCATAGTTGTTTTGGTATTCAGACTTGATCTTGCTGTTGATTTCAATTGTGAATGATTTGGAGAAAGCACTTTTTCTCTGTGTCTTTGGATTTTAACAAAAACTAAAGCACTTGAGACTGTTAGGGACAAGGGTACACAAGAGAGATGCAGTCCTTCTAAGTTTTTTTTTCATCATTTGTTTGAGACGCTGTTTCGCTCTGTCGCCCAGACCTATAGTGCAGTGGTGTGATCATAGCTCACTGTGGCCTTGAACTCGTGGGCTCAAGCCGTCCTCTTGCCTCATAGCTCACTTTAGCCAGGACCACATGTGTATACCACTATGCCTGGCTAATTTTTTATTTTTATTTTTGTAGAGAAGGGGTCTTGTTTTGTTGCCCAGGATAGTCTTGAACTCCTGGCCTTAAGTGATCCTCCTGCCTCAACCTCTAAAAATTTTAAGCTATGATTTGCAGAGCTTTTTTTTTTTTTTCTCTTCTTTTTTATGTCACACGGGTAATATGCCAATATTGTAACAAGGTTTGAGGGTGGCACATTTCACACATGCGTGTGAACACCCAGTCATTGTGCTCATGAACTATAAAAGGACCGATTTGCAGAACTTTCATACATGCAAAATGTCTGTCTATACTGCATCTTGGCACCAGCTGTGCCTCTAAATTGTGAGGCCTGCATGCTTACACAGCATTCCCAGGTGTTGTCCCTTTTCACGAAAACCAGGGTAGTTTCACAAATTCATATGAAATTAATTTGAAAATCTTATTCCTTAAATATTAATCTTTCTTATTCTTGAATACCTTAGGTAGTGTAAAATTTAAAAGGGACAAAAAGTATCAGCTACCTAGTTCCTCTCCCCAGAGGCAACTAATGTCATCACTTTCTTTTATATTTCTCCTGAGATTTTAAAACATAAAGATCCTGGCCAAAGTACATTGATTTCCCCTACCCCCACCCCCGTTAAAATACTAAAATACCAGAGCTGGGCACAGTGGCTCATGCCTGTAATTCTAGCACTTGGGGAGGCTGAGGTGGGTTGATTGCTTGAGCCTAGGAGTTCGAGAACACCCTGGGCATTATTGCTAAACCCCCTCTCTACAAAAAAAATAAAGATTTGCCAGGTATGGTGGCACATGCCTCTCTGGTGGCACATGCCTCTCTAGTCCTAGCTATTGGGAGGCTGAGGTGAGAGGATTGATTGAGCCCAGGAGGTCGAGCCTGCAGTGAGCCAAGACCGTGCGACTTCACTTCAGTCTGGGTGACAGAGCGAGACCCTGTTTCGAAACAAAGAGACAGAAAATATTAGCATATCAAAAGTATCATTAGCAATATATTTTATCTTGGATATTGTCCATAGCAGTATACAATGAGTTGACTGAT